TGCACAGATTACATTTGTAACCTGAGGCAAACTGCTCCACTTTTCTGTGCTCCAGTTACATGAGCAGCAAAACAGGGAAAACAGAAAACTTCTTTTTATAGGATATTGAGAATATTAATTAATCTGTATTTGTAAACTCTCCTCTATCAGAGGAATGTTGTATACTATGATGCATAAAGATTTGACGACATTTTCTCCAGGAAGGTGACCATTTGTCTAGAGGCAGCAAAAATATGTTTAAATCCTACAGTAAAATAAGGCACGATAAAGCAAGTGCCCGAAGCGTATTCCAACCAAAACGTGCCTATGTCATAAACCTTCCTGGTGATTAAATAACATTTTTCTGAAGCGGTACTGTTATTTCAGTCAGCAGCACTAGGGAAAAAATCACATTTAAGACTTCACAACTACCGAGGTTGGCACATGAGCGGCTGGCTGTGAACTCCACAGAGGTGCTTTTGTGCTTGGATGCTCCCCCTTCTTCCCTCCCCCTTCCATGGGATAACTCCTTCTGGTATTACTTCACTTTTCTGTTAGTGAGCACTTTCCCCCATAAATATGACTGAACAGGTGTTACTCTGCTACTAACTGAGTTTCCAGCTGTCCTCCTCCAGCACAGACCAGGCAAAATCTGTTGTTTAGTCCTATTAGACAGACTAGAGAACTATCAAGCCTGAGATGGAGGTCTTCCTTGCAGGATATGGTAGTTTTGTTGCCAGAAGATGGTCAGGAAGGCCTGGCTGGCTAACAAAGACAGTCCTTCAGCTGCTGGGTGTAGTTCCAGTTTTGCATCCCCTTTGGCAGCAACACAGAGACTGCTGCAGTGTGGCCAGCCAGCAAAATTAGGAAATAAGGACCTCTTTTATTTACTCAGGCTGCTGAATCATGGGCATTTCTGTCTGCTTGGAGAAAAGTCAGGCAGCTCTACTTTCCACTGGAAGTCTCAGGAGTGCTTGGTACTTTCATCTCGGAGTGTTCGCACACTTGTTTTAATGTGCTTTATGGAAATGGTGAAACTCAGCAAGTACAGTTGGTGGAGAAAAACATCTGCACTAACTATTCACACACATTTGCATCTTTAAATAGACTTTTAGGACTTTTAGCTGATTTCCAGTGAAGTTTTTCAGCTGCGAGTGCTAGAGCTTTCTTAGAGGCAGTGAGTGTGAAGTGACTGGTTCCAAAAATTAAAAATTTACATGGACACGTTAAGTGCATCACACTGAAACTCAGAATAGTTGCCATGACACAGAAAAAGCATTTACGGTAAGTAGCACTTAGTGAGTGGCAAAGGATAAAGAATACGTCGATACAGAAAATATATTTTAAAACTCCATAAACACTCTGTGGTGTACCTGGAACACTCCCCTGCCCCCAGATAGTTGTATGCCACTCCTGGGGACTTGTATCTGAATTTCATCCAGAGTATTCGAAAACAGCTTGTGATAACACTTAAAGTCAGTATTTGTAATGTTGACATAGCTCAGTGGGTAGGTGTCTGCTGATTTATATGCACATGGATGTATGCAGAGTAGCAGCAAACTGTTCGTGTTTTCTATCAGAGTGACTGGCAAAAAGGGGTTGGGAGTCTTTTATCTCATCGTCAGGCCAAGCTTCACCCCCAGCATAAAGTCAGGCCTGTGTGAAGTGCCCTTGGAAGGGGAAGGGGTGGGGTCCCCCCATCCGAGCTTAGAGCCTGTCGCTGCTCACTGAATCCCACCTTGTGAACACAGCCTCAGCACGTGGTGGCACACGGTGGACTACAGCCAACTAGAAATCAGTGGTTGCGTGTGGTGCAGCATCCTCATGGGGGAAGGGTTAGATCTGCTGTCCTCAGATCCATTTCTAGACAGTCCCTCAGCTCACATGTGAGCATGGGGAATGTTGTGAGTCCATACTGCACCACACCATTCACCACGCTCACATTGGAGTCCATACAACAAAAGCCAATCTGCAGCAAGGCATTCCCCTCATCAGCAGGAGGAAGGACCCTTCATAGATAGTGGCCGCAAGCCCTTGATGTGAGTGCATGCAAAGGCCCTCCTTCTGGAGCAGCAGCCACCTGGGGGTAGGCTGGGAAGCCATGCTGGCCGCCCTGTGACACTCATGCACAGGAAAATCCTGTTGTCCTCCACGATATGCTGTGCAGGGTTCCCCAGGCCTGGCTGGGAGGAAGCGGTTCTTCAGGAGCACAGAAAGGTCAGATTTTCAGATTTCAAGCAATAGGAATGGACGCTTAGCTAGTGGTTTGCTCTCTTCCTTTTTGCTTGAAGAATAGTGCTGTGCAGGATTAATATGGGCTTGGATTAAAAACCCTAACAGCAGTGTGACATGCAGAAACACTGGTGTTTGCTGGCTCTAAAGTAAGAACTGGCTCTGTGCTGTAATGACACCATTCCTCCTCCACTATTTTTTTTAACCTTGTATAAAAGCTAAAGGAGAGAACCCAAGCAAATGAGGAGAATTGGATGGGGGAAAAGGAGTTCCCATTGCTTGTCCTGTGGTCATGCTCAGCGCTCAATCGCAACCCTGCTGCCAGTCCCATGTCCCACCGGGGCTCACAAACCAAAGGGAATAGTTGTATAAGAGGTAAAACCAGGCAGGCAGTGGCCACAAGAAGAAAATGATTTACTACTGTGTCAGTGATAATGCACCATTTATAATGCTTACTATATATTCCTCTAAACATTTATACAATAATACATCATTTTTGAATGGGATATACATTTTAATACTAAATTTGGTTACAAAATATGTGGCCTGGGCAGTTGCAGGCTATTTTTCTTTGTTCAGTTGCTTGACATAAATTTCTGTTTATCATCTGGCAATGTCCATATATAAGAAATATATTTGATTTTTAAAGGAGAGAAGCTTTTCCACTTAAGAAACCTGGCTGAAAATGTTCATTTGAAATAAAATGTAACAAAAGTTAACGTTTTTTTCTATGAGTAATTTTTCCAGTGCTATGATCATTTCCAATTTTAGAGTCAAACCCAGCAATTTGAAAGGGCTGTACACAGATTTGCATCAAAAGTCTCCCATGAATATTCCAGTCATTAATGTACCAACTTGAAAACTCAACTGTCTGGTATCATTTAGTAACTATGACAATAAGTAATGTTGCTTTAGTACACTGCAGATGATAGTACTTTTGTTGGAGGAAAGGAATTTTTGTTTAGTTTTTTTTCTTAACAAAACTGACACCTTCGCTTTCAGTTCAAATTTGGGTTGCTTAAGCTTGGGATTGCTTTTTTATTTAAGTATAACTAGTGTAGATTCATACATAGATAAACGCAGATATGTACTGGGGTACGTGTGCTTATGCGTGTGCATGCGTGAGAAAGGTGAGTGCATTTTGTGAACCTCCCCCCCTCTTCAAGAGGTAAACAAGAGGGTAAAAAACATGGAATTTCAGCTTGTGCTGAAAAGCATTGTGTCAGTGGGCAAGGATCCAGGAATGGTGTTTGGTTGTTTTCTCAGAGTTCGATGGTTACCATCTGGCATTGATAGGGAGATGGTGTTGTCATCAGTTTCGAGATGCAGGAAAGAAATGAATACTCATCTGTTTCCTGTGGATAAGCAAGACGTTGATCATCTAGTAAAATCTTGTTACCTTAAAGAAAACAGGCTTGGAATTTGTTTACATAATGTACACCAGCTCCAATTTTTATGTTAGTATAGTAGTTTCTTTGAGAGAAGGATGGAGATGTAAAGAAAAAGCATTTTTCAAGAGCACCCTAAGACATTTTTCAAATAGGTTTATCTTGTCTCTGCTTTATTACTGTAATTAATTTTACTTTTCAAAGGAAGAAAACCACGAAGTGTTACCCATGGAATGGAATAAAATGATTATTTGATTTAGAGTGGTCTTTCAAGCGTTCTTAAGAGTTGTGGTCACTGTAGCATAGTAGTTCATGCTTAAAACAAAAGGTGTAAAAATTGTAGAGCACACCTGGTTAAAAAAACACCAATTATGACTTGCCCTGTGTAAAGGTGAGATAGCTAGTTTAGTTTATTGTCTGGCTAGCATTCCTGTTTTGTCTTTTCCTTGTTACTCATAAATCTTTCAGCTTTTATCATAAGTGTTTATCATTTTTCCTGTTTCCAGTTTTCCACAAGTTGGTTTGTCTGTGATCACCTCACAGTACAGGCTCTGCTAGACAAAGGAAGTTCAGCTGGCTGAGGCTTTTGCAAAAAGGAAGAAATGGTGGGCAACCTCTTGAACTTGAAAAAGGAAAAAAAAATGCTGTTCACATTTGACCCTTGTGAAACTTTCTAATTTTCCGTCAGCTTGGCTGTTGGTTTGTTAGTTTGTTTTGAACATTTGATGGTCTAGCTGCCAGCTTTCAGGAACTGAATTGCGTAGTTATTGGAGAAATCTGGTTGCACTTTATTAGAGAAAATGTTACCATTCATACTGTTGCCCGGTTCCTTCTCTGTAATTTTTCATATTAGTGTTTTGAATAACACTCAAGACTCTCTCACTAATAGCCTACATTCAAAATCAACTTCAAGAGAAAAAAAAAAAAATTGAGACAAAGCAGAGGGAATTTTTTTTATTAAATATTAGGAATGTGGGTTGACTATATTAATTTTAAATCATTCCTGTAATATTTTCTCCTTTCCTTTGACTCTTCGGATGCTCACATAATATGCAAATCATTTTCCAATGGATACAAAAGAAACATTAAGTATATTAAAATCTGCATTTTAATAAATGTGTCAGTGTATAATACATATTCTGCAACTGAGAAAAAAATGATAAAAAAGCAATAAAAAGGTAATATAGGCACAGAACTATTTAATAACTTTTAATGTTTTACAGTCGGATAAAAATAAATGTGGTCTTGAAGCTGTTTGATACAGGTTTAAGAAATACCCTAGTCTGAGTTTAATACGTTTTGGCTCTTTAGGAATAGCAGGTCTGTGTTGTTCGTGTGCATCTGATATCTCCTTTGACCTGCAGGGATTAAGCTTGTGGACATATTTCTTTTTCATTTCAGATGGAGTGGATGTTGAGGATGACCCCACTTGCTCATGGCCAGCATCATCACCTTCCAGCAAGGACCAGACTTCCCCAAGCCATGGAGAAGGTTGTGATTTTGGTGAAGAGGAGGGAGGCCCAGGGTTGCCCTATCAGTGCCAGTTTTGTGACAAATCGTTCAGCCGCCTCAGCTACTTAAAGCACCACGAGCAAAGTCACAGTGACAAACTCCCTTTCAAATGCACGTATTGCAGTCGTCTCTTCAAACACAAACGAAGCAGGGACCGCCACATAAAGCTTCATACGGGAGACAAGAAGTATCACTGCAGCGAGTGTGATGCAGCATTCTCAAGGAGTGATCATCTTAAAATTCACTTAAAAACTCATACGTCCAACAAGCCATATAAATGTGCCATTTGTAGACGTGGATTCCTGTCATCTAGTTCGCTGCACGGCCACATGCAGGTTCACGAGAGGAACAAGGATGGCTCTCAGTCTGCTTCCCGGATGGAGGACTGGAAAATGAAGGACACTCAGAAGTGCAGTCAGTGTGAAGAAGGCTTTGATTTTCCTGAAGATCTTCAGAAGCACATTGCGGAATGTCACCCTGAGTGTTCTCCTAATGAAGACCGATCTGCTCTTCAGTGTGTTTATTGTCACGAACTCTTTGTAGAGGAAACGTCTCTGGTGAATCACATGGAGCAGGCTCATAATGGTGAGAAGAAGAATTCATGCAGCATTTGCTCTGAGAACTTTCACACTGTGGAAGAGCTGTACAGCCACATGGACAGTCACCAGCAGCCAGAATCATGCAACCACAGCAACAGCCCATCATTGGTAACTGTTGGCTACACCTCAGTCTCAAGTACCACTCCAGATTCCAATCTCTCTGTGGATAGTTCAACAATGGTGGAAACGGCTCCCCCTATACCAAAAGGCCGTGGAAGGAAGCGGGCAGCTCAGCAAGTGCCAGATATCACTGGTCCTTCAAGTAAACAGGCAAAAGTTACCTACAGCTGCATTTATTGCAACAAACAGTTATTTTCCAGCCTTGCAGTTTTGCAGATACACCTGAAAACTATGCATTTAGATAAACCTGAACAAGCCCATATCTGTCAGTACTGTTTGGAGGTATTGCCATCTCTCTACAATCTGAACGAACATCTTAAGCAAGTCCACGAAGCTCCGGATCCAGGGCTGATTGTTTCCACCATGCCTGCCATGGTGTACCAGTGCAACTTCTGCTCTGAAGTGTTCAATGACCTCAACACTCTTCAGGAACATATCCGATGTTCTCATGGATTTGCCAACCCTGCTGCTAAGGACAGTAATGCGTTCTTTTGTCCCCATTGCTACATGGGGTTTCTTACAGATTCTTCTCTGGAAGAGCATATTAGACAAGTCCATTGTGATCTTAGCAGTTCCCGTTTTGGTTCCCCTGTGCTCGGAACCCCAAAAGATCCAGTAGTGGAAGTGTATTCTTGTTCTTACTGTACAAATTCTCCAATATTTAATAGCGTTCTTAAATTGAACAAGCATATCAAGGAGAACCATAAGAACATTCCTTTGGCACTGAATTACATCCACAATGGAAAAAAATCCAGAGCCATGAGTCCCTTATCTCCTGTAACGATTGAGCAGACCTCTTTAAAAATGATGCAGGCAGTTGGAGGTGCTCCTCCTCGTCCTGCAGGTGAATATATTTGTAATCAATGTGGTGCTAAGTATACTTCCTTGGACGGTTTTCAGACTCATTTAAAAACACATCTTGATACTGTCCTACCAAAACTGACCTGCCCTCAGTGCAACAAGGAATTTCCAAATCAGGAGTCTCTGCTGAAGCATGTTACCATTCATTTTATGATCACCTCAACCTACTACATCTGTGAAAGCTGTGACAAGCAGTTTACTTCTGTGGATGACTTGCAGAAGCACCTACTAGACATGCATACATTTGTATTCTTCCGCTGCACCTTGTGCCAAGAGGTTTTTGACTCCAAAGTCTCTATCCAACTACACTTGGCTGTGAAGCACAGCAATGAAAAAAAGGTATATAGATGTACATCTTGCAACTGGGATTTCCGCAATGAGACTGACCTACAGCTGCATGTTAAACACAACCACTTGGAGAACCAAGGCAAAGTGCACAAATGCATCTTCTGCGGTGAATCCTTTGGTACAGAGGTGGAGCTGCAGTGCCATATTACTACGCACAGCAAGAAGTACAACTGCAAGTTCTGCAGCAAAGCTTTCCATGCCATCATCCTGCTGGAAAAGCACCTAAGGGAAAAGCATTGTGTTTTTGAAACAAAAACTCCAAACTGTGGAACGAATGGGGCATCTGAGCAGGTTCAGAAGGAAGAAGTGGAGCTCCAGACCTTGTTGACAAATAGCCAGGAGTCCCATAACAGCCACGATGGCAGCGAAGAGGATGTGGACACATCTGAGCCTATGTATGGCTGTGACATTTGTGGAGCAGCTTACACCATGGAGACTCTCCTGCAAAACCACCAGCTTCGAGATCACAACATTCGGCCTGGAGAAAGCGCCATAGTGAAGAAAAAGGCTGAACTCATTAAAGGGAATTACAAGTGTAATGTGTGTTCTCGAACATTCTTCTCTGAAAACGGGCTTCGAGAACACATGCAGACACACTTGGGACCAGTGAAACATTACATGTGCCCAATCTGTGGCGAGCGGTTTCCATCTCTTCTGACTCTTACTGAACATAAAGTCACACATAGTAAGAGCCTGGATACCGGAAACTGCAGGATTTGCAAGATGCCTCTGCAGAGTGAGGAGGAATTTTTAGAGCATTGCCAGATGCACCCTGACTTGAGGAACTCTTTGACAGGGTTCCGCTGCGTGGTGTGCATGCAGACTGTGACCTCCACGTTGGAACTGAAAATCCACGGCACATTCCACATGCAGAAAACTGGAAATGGTTCTGCCGTGCAGTCTACGGGGCGCGCACAACATCTCCAGAAACTGTACAAGTGTGCTTCTTGCCTGAAGGAATTTCGTTCAAAACAGGATTTAGTGAAACTTGACATCAATGGTCTGCCATATGGTCTGTGTGCTAGCTGTGTTAATCTCAGTAAAAGTGGTAGTCCAAGTGTCAACATCCCTTCAAGCAGTAACAGACAAGGCATGGGCCAAAATGAGAACTTGAGTTCCATTGAGAACAAAAGCAAGGCAGGGGGACTGAAGACTCGATGTTCTAGTTGCAATGTTAAATTTGAATCAGAAAGTGAACTCCAAAACCATATTCAGTCAATCCACAGAGAGCTTGTTCCAGACAGCAACAGTACACAGCTGAAAACACCACAAGTATCTCCAATGCCCAGAATCAGCCCCTCCCAAACTGAAGAGGTAACCCTTTTTATTTTGCTCTTGACACCTTCCATCCTTTTAGAAAAAAATCCCCCTTTTTTCAAGTCGTTTTGTCACTTGTCATGAAATTCTTAGGCTGAACCATGTTACATTTCCATCTGTAGCTATTAGCTAGTAATTACTTGCTTCTTGATATGCCTTACATCTTGGATTGAATTGTGCGGAATAGGACTAATTCCAGTCTCCCTAGGATATTGTCTTCTGTATCACTGAGGAGACCTATCTTCATGCCAGCACAACTGAGATCTGGAATCTTACCCTAGCTCTGTTAATGCGTTGGAATCCCCAGCTAGGAGTTGTGCTTACGGCAGGGAGCATTAATGACAGAGGAGTAGAACGCAGTGAGCCAAAATGCTGGCATAAGGGGTAGATTTTTAAAAAATATTTGTGAACAACAAACTGCGGTTGGTTTTTTTCTTTGCAAATTGTGTTGTAGACATTGATTTTCTCACTTACAGCATATTTGGATTAAATAGAAGTGCAACACTAGCCTAAGGTAAACTGGGAAATGCGTCCTTCAGAGGCAGTTCCTGGTTTTACTTTTCTTTCCATTCCCGATGAACAGATTTTGATGTTGCTGAAGCACCTATGCCTGATGAATGAAATCCTGTTCATGCAGTGTGACTTAGAAAATAAATCTACGTTTCAGAAAAAAACAAAGGGTCAAACTCTTAAAAGATCCCATCTGCTTTCTCAGACTCGAGTGACCAAAAAATAATGGTTGTATGGGGAGTAGAAGGGGAAGGTAAGGGAGTCATTTACTGACTGAAGGGAATCTGCTTTATCTCTGATCTTCAGAAATATTAGCAATAGAATGACTGAGAGTTACTATTTTAGTCATGGTATTTTGCATAATAACCTATTATAGTTCAGGAAGCTTTAAAACACAGCACACACAAATTAAAAGAAATAATAGCTTTTGTTTCGAAAGAGCTTATAACATGTAATGGTGCAAGTGTGTAGTAACCCATCACTGTGAATGCATATGGATACCCTGTGGTTAAAGAGCTGCTCTTCCGTCTCTTTCATCACTCCCTATTTGTGAGCCCATCTGTTGGGCAAGAAATCTCTTAGCCTGTCACCCAGTAGACATGTGCAAACTGGAGGGCAGGGGGGAGGCAGAGAGAAGGTGGAGTGATGCATGAGGATGTGTGGTTCAAGAGGTAAGTGTGGAGCTACTGAGAACATAGCTGGGAGGAGGCCACTGAAGCAGCACAGGACCTGGTGTGTTACCAAGAGGAACACTCCAGCTGGGAGATGAAAGTGTAATACCAGTCAGGATGCATCCACCAGAAAGTGACTCCATGCTTTTATGGCATCTGCATCTCCAGTGTGCAAGCTGGGGGTGATAGGTGATGCTTGGGGAATGGGATGTGTTGCGTAGTTAATGGGAGGAGCAGTTTGTTAGATTGAGAACTGCAAGTCTAAGGAAAACATTTTCAAAGAGGAGAGAAGAGGAGTGGCTCCCATTATTGTACTTTTAGGCCACTGATGGTCCTGTAGTATTGCTGCTGAGTAGGAATCACCGAATGACCAGCTACAAACTTTTGATAGATTCACAATCATCCTATTTTCTTTTATCTTTTCCCAAAAGACTGCTTGATATCTCTCTTCCCAGTCATTCTGGAAGCCAATTCCTGCTACCTCAAGCATGAACAGAATCATACATGTTAAGACAGTTAACAAGATAATGTGTTGCCAATTTGACTTTCTCTTGCTTGTAAACTAAGGAAAATGAGATATAGGCATTCTCTGCAGTGATATAAGGTCAGTTACCTTCAGTGTCCTCAGGGAATCTTCTTGTACTTGGATCAGGTATAATCAGCGTTTTTGTATCTTCTGATTGGTCTCATGTTTCTTTTCTTGCTTTTTTCATTTTTTATCTTAGAAATGTATGTAAGATGAAAAAGCCTTTTAAACTACATCAAGATTTTTGAGTAGAATTTGCATGCTTCCGAATCACCATTTGCCTTCTGCCTCCATTCAGAGCTCTTAAACTGATTTTTCAGTGCCTGTGGTTTTGTCTTCACATGTGCAACCTAGGCTTTCAGATTCTTTTCTCATGGGAGGCAAAAAGCTATCAAGTTCCTGATAAAGCATTAGTACTTCTGGAAACTATAAATGCATGTTTATAAAATCTTGAAAGATAATTTAATTTTCTAACAGATATTATTTCAAATTGTAGTGATGCGAATGTTATAGCAATGAGAATCAAAATTCAAAGTGGTAATGCAAAGATGTTCAACACTATAGATTTGTTATCCAGGCTGAGAGAAATGAAAACATAAGCATATAACACAAACAGTAAAAACAAATTGAGTTTCTAAAATTTATTATTAGTTAGTGGCTTTGGTCCTGCACTGGAAGAATATTTGTCGAATTGAATGAGGTACTGAAGAAAGCTATTTAAATGTGTTATTTTGGAGAAATTTTCAACAACAAAAAAAAATCATTACATTAAGGAGTGAAGGTTCCATTTGCATTATTTATAGTTGTTGGCTTGAGTTGTGAGCTTCAAGTAAATAATAGTTCACTTCAGAAGCAAGAAAAATCTAAAGTAGTTATCAGACAATTAACAGTACTGAATACCCTTCGTTACTCAGTTAAAAGATGACTGTGCTAAGAGTGCTAGAAGATACCTTTTTAAGATAAAAGAACATTAAACACATGGTTTCTGCCTTCTTGGCAAGAAGAAGGTCAAGTATTCCTATGCTTAAGCTAGAACACTTTCCTTTTTAGTCTGTACAAAATAACGTGATAGGATGTGATTGTACTATTGTCTTCAGACAGACAGACTTGAGACTTGAACAATTCAACTGTGGATAGATGGCTATTGAAAGAGCTTTTAAATTAGTAAACCCCTAATTTATTCTTTGAGCTTAATGAGATGCTAAATTCAGGCTGTAGATTTCTTGTAAAAATCCTAAATTATTGCAAGTATGCTGTTAGGCTAGAATAATAATCTTGGTGATACTTAATGTTTAAACGTGAAGAACAAGGTTTAATGTGATAGTGAATTGAGAACTAGACAGAGATTATTTTCCTGTCACTCGTGTGCTTTGGCAACTCGGACAAATCCACTTGAACATCTCTTCCTCACTTTCCTTATTGAGAAAATAATTTTGATAGTTTCTGAAAATGCATTGCCATGCTTAATTACGATACATTTTCTGCAAAGGACTAGGAAGATAAAAAGCAGTGTTCAAGAAAAGATGTGCAGCTTTGCCTCTTTTGCTCTTCTTCGGTGTGTTGCTGTGCACCTAATGAGAGAACTGCTGGCACAGCAGAAAGGTGTGCCTTTTCTTTTTAAGCTTCACAACTTCTGTACACTCAGAACCATACCAGCATAACAGTTCAATAATAATTATACTGCTAATTGCTTAGCAGGCAGGGGAGGAGGGTGTGGACTTTATACCAACAGTTCATTGGTAAAGCTAATCTGGTGGTAGTGTGTCCTTGTGAGCCACTGTGCTCAGTTTGGGGTCCTGTTGATAACATCCAGAGTAGATGCTCAGCAAGCATAATTGCTGCTATAAGTAGCTAAAGTTATGTATCACTTTTTTTCATGAATGTGAAGCTCATATGAATACTGTATTACCTGTGGCAATGCAGACAGTCCTTCATTAATAATACAAGGACATTCTGGGTTTTCTGGTCCTGAGAAGAGAAGGGGCAGTGCAAGCACACTACTAAATTACCGCAGGAATAAAGATGTTTATCTAGGTGTTGCAAAAGACTTACAAAAATTCACTGTAGCAGAGAATCAAAGTGCTGAACAAAGAAGAAAAGAACTAGCAACAGTGAAGCCAGCTGAAGAACCGCAGTGAGAATCTGGGGCTGCTCTCTGTCCCGTTGTGGTTGCACAGAGCTGTATGCCAGGGTGGGCATGTCCCAGCAAGGAGCACCTAGCACCGCACAGCACCATTCTGGAACGAACCATAAAGGTGCAGGCTAACAATGAGCTCATGGAAATGGGAGTCACAGAATTCAGGTGCTGAAGAGCTGGTGGCTCAATGAATCTCAACGTATCTGACCTCAGATGAATCTTGAAATGGTATCTCTGGGAGCACGAATGGCATTCAGGTAGGTGTACTGTTTTACTTTTACATTTTTTTTTGCCCCTCTTTATTCATGGGCATTGAATCTATACCTTTCTTACTGTTCCTCCTCTCCATTCCCCAAGACTGCCAAACTCACAAAGACATAACAGGAACTGCCTTTCAAAGTAGTTGGTTTGTTTCAACATCAGGTACTGGCAGTCAGAAGCAGAAAGAAGAGAGGAAAAACTAAGCAACAAGAAATGTTCCCAAATGCATGCTTCTGGCAGGGCAAGCAACTGCATTTTAGCAACATAAATCACTGTGCTTTTAACTGAAGAAATGCTTTGAAATCAATACTCATGCATTTAATTGAAATACATAAAGAAATTAAAATAATACTCCTCATCAGCAATCCAAGCTGATCATTTGAATTACAGGATTTTTGTGGATAAGCACATAGACTTGTAATGTAAACATTGGGTTTCCTGTCAGTGAATCCATGCCCGTGATTTTCATGCTGGATTTTGGATTCAGGGATGGAAAAAGGTAGAAAAGGTTTGTTGCTGGCACAAAGATTTGTAATTGCAAGAGTTTGTGGAAGTAATCTGTAGCAAACATATTTTCTGCTTCTGGAGTTTCAGAACAAGCTCGCTAAAAATACAGCTTCACCTTCTGGCATCATTTTGACATTGTTTTCATGAAGATAATATGTGGCCATATGTATTTTTAGTAAGGGCTACTCTGTTTTTCTAGACACAGAAGGCCACCTTCACATTACCATACACTCTAATTTCTGGTAGGTCCACTGCCATGGAGTGGCTGACAAGATAGCATTCTCCTTCTCTTTGTCTTTACACTTTCAGTAGTGATCTATCAGATAACTCCTCTGCATTTAAGAAAGATGATGTTATTTATTGTCCTGTTGCTATTAATCCTACTGAAGTTAGGCAGCAAATTTCCCACCTTTCTGCATTCACCAGTTTGTGAAAGGAACACCATATGTTAATTGGGAGCTGCTAAACAGTAGTAAGTTTTTTTAGTTTTCTGTCCACTGATCATTAAAATCTAATGCTGTCATGTTGTTTCTCAGATGCTTCAGTTGAGAAATTCTTCATACCTTTGCATCGGAGGAAGAAAGGATAACTTGTTCTCCAAACTTTTCAAGAGTTCCAAGCCAAGATTTCCATGAAACAAGGCAGCAGAAGCAGTGCCTCCTTGAAGAAAAGCAGATTAACAGGAGAGGGGCACAGGAAAATAGATGAAGACATTAAGCAACTCTAGAGAGGGTATTTGTAAATGTATTTGTGTCTCATAGAACTTCAACAAAGTTTTATGGGACAAAGTGCCCTAAGATGTACACTCCTGTTGATCATCTGGGCAGCCCACTGTTTTCATGGGACTTTCCTCATTCATGTACCTGCTGGCCAAGTGACCAGGGTAACATCACAGTTTCCCTTCCACACAACCTCAGTGGAAAATCAGCAGTGATGAGTGTTAGTACTTCGACCTCAAAATCATGTAGAAACCACAATAAACTTTCTCTTTTTTTCTAGCCTGATCATCTTTGGGAACAAGACATAGGAAATCATGATATGTGTCTTTTTGTCTCTTTGTATACTACTAGAGAGTTCTCTCTCTTCCCCCTCCAACTTTTGAACTATTCTTGCCCAATTTCAACAAAAACATTATAGCTGAGCAGGAATATTAAAGTCTATAGAGTTTTTACAACTTTGGTGGAAGAAAAGTGACCCAGCATATCATCTGTGATAGAAACCAGTCAAGAAAGAAGCCTTTTAGGGATCCAAACCAGGAAGATGGCTTTAACTGAAGTTCATACCTGGTTTCTCTGCAAAAGTCTATCAGCCACAAGACATGAAGCTATAAGGAACCACAATCCACTCTTTGTGGTGATTACACAGTAACTTTTAAACTGACTAAATGTTTTGAGAAGTGCTATTTGTTTTGGTTTTTTTTTTGTTTTTTTAATCAGTGCTCAATAAAGCTATTATATGCAATGTGTGTATTATTTATCTCACACACCAAACATGACACCCAAATTTGTCACTCTGTCATGAGAAACATAAAATGGGCTGTTAATTTAAAATGAATGTGCATCCCTAGTACTGCTTGTTCCATAGAGTTGTACAAAATGAACATAAATGAACCACCTGATAGGTGGCATCATGGAGAGTCCTCTTGTTTGACCTATGTCTTTGTGAAGACTGGTGATTGATCTTAACTCTAGTTGGTTGTTCAGAATCTTTGGATACTTTTTTTCCTTCCAATCTCATTTCCCATTTATTCTGTTTACTGCATTCTTTTACAGCTGTAGATATGACAGCAGAAATGTGTGTCCTGTCAACATTAGTTGTTGCCATGGGGCGTATCAAGGCAGGAGTCGGTGGGCACAAGTTGAAATACAGGGGCTTCCATGTGGGTAACTGGTACAGGTTGCCCAGAAGAGGTTTTGGAGTCTGAGTGCCTAAACAGAGGACTGGTCCAAAATGGCCTCCAGAGATCCCTTCCAACCTCAGCCATTCTGTGATTCTGTGGTTTCCAGAGTGCTTTTGGCCTGCCTACCAGATGTGCATCTGTGTTACCTTGTTCTCTCTTGGTGGTTAAACCTTTATTGCTAGTATAGATGCCATAAGTCAGGGAATGAAAAGATGGGGCATCTCACTACAGTCCTACTAGTAACAATGTGCACATCAAAGAAAAAAAAACCACACAGTTTGCAGTTTTTATTGGAGACCTAAGTTCATTGAAGTGAAGGCCTCACATGCGTTCATTGATCATTCATATCGCCCATGAAATGACTTTGAAAAGCCCCTTAAAAATATAGCCTCTTAGAAATGCAGTCATTAAAAGTCGCTTGCTGCTTGTATACTCAAAAGCAAGGTGGAAGGTAGGAGGAAAAGAGACTGTTTGTCCCCTTTGGTCATGCTTCCACAATTTTGGTATCCTGCATAGGATAGTGTTCCTCTCTTGCCTGTTATCCAGATTCAGCTGTATGCAAAAAGGCACACCTAATGGCTTCTTGTGTCTGGAAGGCCTCCTCTTCCCTCTGCTTTTTCTGAGAGGAAATAGAATGGTTCACCAACAGAGAACGATCTGAGATTCCAAGCTTCCAAATTCCTTTTTCCACCTTCATTTCCACTGCTACAACAGTCCTCTTGGTTTCTGTTCTGATGGCTGAAGTAGGTTTGGTGCGAAACTAGGAATGTGGCTGTCTGCACATGCCAATCCTGAAGCTTTCCCTGACAAACTCACAGTTGATCCTTTCTGCTGCTTGGGCCTTCTTTTTGCAGGCCTAATAAAAGAACGTCTGCAACACCTGATGATTTTTGTGAATGCTTTCTCTTAACCTTACTTCTTCTGTTTTCTTCTAATCCCTGCTTCACAATTTCATAGTCCATATAATGGTGGTCTAGACAAGCCTAGACATATGGTATTCTGTTTCTGAAGTAAATCCCTTGATCTCTTTTTCTGTTAGAGAATGGTAGATTGAAGCCCATGAACTTATTACAAGATGTACCTAAGAGGAACTACTGGAATTTTAAGACGTAGTATGAAAGAAAAAGATTATAAAATAGGACAGAGGGAACTGTGGGAGGTTCCTGTAGTTCTCTTAGAGGAAAGCAAGTATGTCTTCACAGGAAAAACTGCCAGAGACAAACCGTTGTGGGCAGCAATGAAGACTGACTCAGTGGCACGCTTGTTTTGCTGGTACACCACTTCCTTGGGCAGCTCTGCTGCCGCTGCTGAGGTTTGCCAACTGGGCGTGCAGTCAGGCATCACTGCAATGTCAGCAGCTGTGCGCCCGCTCAGACGCTACTGGTATATTTGTTAACATTGATGTGGCCTAACAGTATCCATACAGAGTGGTGCTATAATCACAGTAGTATGATTGTGGAATTCAGTTAGTGGAATATTTCATAGTATAGGCAAGCTTTTGTATAGTTCCAGTCTTGTGAAGTCCCATTGGCTTCACAAGTGAAGCCTTCACTTGTGAAGTCCCATTGACTTGCTCAAGTGCAGAGCTAATTGCAAGAGAAGGATCTAAGGGGTTTAATCCTTCTCCTGATATTTCAATGAAAATTAATTTCTTATATATTATGTATGAGTAATATATTTCTGTTTGTACATTAATATTAATGCTGCATATTTTTGAGCACAACTGTTCAGTAGGACGGAATTATGCTCGTAAGTAATAGCCCAGAATTCTTCAGGAATAAAGGTTGAATTGAAAGTGGACAAGTAAGAAAAAGAAAAATGTCCCAAGTCTCGCTTTAGAGACTGAAATTAATTGTCATTAATTTTCCATAGTGTGGGAGAAAAGTGTTTTTAATGTTCAAATTAAATAAACAAAATGAGGTGTATAAAAGGCCCCCAGTTTTGCCTTTCTGTTAAAATCCAGAGAGCTTTTACAAAATTTGTGATGGTGAAAAGAGACAAAAGAGTATTCTCTTGTGCGTACTTGCAAACTATTAATTTTATTGGTCTACATCTGTTGCTGATTGTTGGTGAAGAAAGTAGTGGCTTTATTGAATGGCAGTCTGTCTCAGTATGCCTTTTTTTTTAAACAAAGGGAAAAAAGAACTAGACTTGAAAAAGCCCACCAGCAATTCATCAACCTACTCAGAATATCAGCTTTTTGCATCTCAGACCTGCCAAGTCATGCTCTGCTGCTTGTGCTTTGATGCCACATCATCTGCAAAATTATCAGTGCAGTCTCGGTTGTAGTATCCCCTTAACATCCATAGCCATGTAGCTGCTCTGAGATTGAGATGCGGAATGTGAGGATGCCTCTTGATGGGTTTGCAGTTCTGTCTCTTGGCTCTTCTCTCTCTCTTATTTGATTTTAAGCGCAGTCTAAGGAGACAGAAAGGGGGAGGAATGCTGACCTGTGGGGCCTATTGTAGGGTACTTACTTTAGCAGGGGGGTTGGACTTGATGATTTCTTGAGGTAACTTCCAATCCCTGCGATTCTGTGATTCTGTGACAGGAAGTTCAGTCACACAGCAAGCTCCATATTCCTGAGAACTGCTCAGCATGTGCACTTGCCATGTTTTGAGGCCCTGTCTCACCCTGGATCAGGCCCTAGGATAGAAAATCAGAAAAAAGCATATTTGTTTTCCACATCCCAAATCAAATTCATGGTACTTACAGCTATTTGTAGTTACAAACTATGTAAACGTCATAGGAAATAATCAAGAGAAAATAAATGCAAGACACGTGGTGCCAGTTTTGTAGTCCCTTTTCTGTCAGGTACCCAATTTTCAAAGACGTGTAGAGAGCTAAAGGATTAGAGAGTTTGAAGGGAAGAGATGCATTTTTAAAAGTTGCAAGACGTGTTTTCTGTATAGGGATGTGAGACATTGCAAGCTAATGCACTTCATCAGCTAGAAGAAGAAAAGATTTGTAACTAAGAGGCACTGAAGACAGCTATGATTAAGTACAGCATCCGGAACGCAAAGTTGGAAGACAGGACAGCAACTGTAAGGCTTCAAGTAGAGAAGGAAGAACTGATAGAATGTTGTGTATTAAAGCAATGAGTAATCGCTGTGAAAGGAATTTCAAAATGTTTTTTTCTCCATTTATTGTTTTTTTTTCATATAGAATTGACTGTCTTTTCTCTCTAAACATGTTTACTCAGATCCCACTATACTTAAGACCCCAATAAACAAAAGCAGAACAGAAAAATTTTCATAAAATCTTTATAAATATATTTTTAATGACAATCAGGAAATACTAGTTAAAGGGTGTTCTATTAGCAATGAGAAGAGTTAGCAATTAGTTCAGAAAAAATGCAAGCTGACAGTGGCCCATAAGCAAGATAAATAGCTAACTATGCAGTGAAACTGTCCAACATATGCTTAGTTCTTTTAGAGCTTAAGGTTGACAAAATAAGCATCCAGGAAGATAGAAAAGAAATCCTCAATTAAGGTACTGTCAAAAATAATCTGAGTTATGATGAAAAATGGCTAAATGGACAAATAGGCTGGGACCATGGTTGCTCTTGTGCCTCACGCAGGGCCGAGCACGCTGCTAACGCTTAATGAAATAATAATGTAAAAAATCAGCTGGCAGCATTAGGAGTTAGCACCAGCAAGTTGCTGTAGTTAGCGTGCAAGTTTTAACTTGCTTTTGCAAATGATCTGTTGGGAGCACAAACACATAAGCTATTTGCTTTCTCTTGTCAGATTACCTTTCTGTTAGTTTAACAGGTGGAATTCATTCCAATCTGGATTTAATGTGAGGGAATGTGGGAGAGAATGATTAGTCTGGGAGGGGGAAATCAGAGGATGTGGGAGGTGTAGGGTTACTCTTTTTCAGCAGTTGCAAGTTGACTTGGCTGTATTGTTGATCCATTCCATCGTTCAGTGCTAATACAAAGTGGAAAAAGCCTTGAAAATCCCCTTTACCAGCATCACACGGGTAAGCAATGTATCTGGTTGTAAATGGGAGGTTATTGTGATGATGAACAGGTACACATCAAAGTCATTTTCAATGCTAGAGACTATTGCATGCAGGAGAAGTCAGGATATAGTACAGAATAAACTTGGGATGCCTGTAAGTCTGTAAGCAAAAGGGGATGGAAGGATTACGCATGAAATTATGGGTTTGTGCATTTGATTTAGACAGTGAGGAGAGAAAGTAGTGACAGAAGAACACCCAGAAATTTTTCAGATTTATCAAAGGGTAGGAAGTATTGATTCAGAAAGGGAGGATCATGTCTAAATTTTTTGCTAAAGAATGTAAACTTTTACCAGAATCTTAGCAAAGCTTTTGATAGAGTATTGCACGAAGGACTAATTTATTCGGTTGATACGCGTGGCATAAGAAGAGCTACTTTGTTTGACTTAAAAAAGAAAAGCAAGACTAGCCTGGATATGGATAGCATTGAAATCTTGTGAAACAGTTAAGGTTGGAGGGATGTGAATAATGGAAAACCTTGAGAGTCACTACTTGCATGAATTTTTCTGAATTTATGCAGTGTATCAGTAGTCTGGAAGAAAGAATAAGTAGTGAAGTGATGAAATTCAGTGGTAGTACAAAACTGGGGAAATGTCAGAACAAAATAGGCATGTGATAAAATTCTGAATGGCTTTGACAAGGAGGTGGAACATGAGCAAATATATAGCATATGCAGTTCATTCTCAAGTAATGTAATGAGATTAGGAAATAGGAAAAAAAAAGAAGAATGTATGGGTATCTAAGAGTCACAGGACACAGAAGGCTACATAGAAGGACCTTCTGAATAGAACTGTGAATCCTCTAATAGAGGAGTTCATACAGTGTTCACTAGTTGTCTGGCTTTTAAAAGGCAGAGTTTTTATTTTTAAAAGCAAATAGAATTGTGGATTAAATTCAGGTACCAATTGAAAGACCGTACTCCTGGGCCACTTATAAAGGCAGCAAAGCCTATTTTGACATGACATGGACACTTTGAGAACCTTTATAGTAAGGAAATTCTGAAAACTGCAAAGTGACAAGTGCAGATCAGGACAATAATTAAAGGTCTAGGTGACATTAATTATTCAAAAGGTTAGAGAGACACATGCATATGCTCTGCATGGATTGAAGGCCCTATCTGAAGCTCATTAAATGTAGTCACAGAGAAGCTTTGCATGCTGGAAGGCTTTAAATCAGCTCTGAAATCAGTAATGAAAAAGAACAAGAATGCAAGAGGCAACGTGGCTGCCCAGTGCTTGTGTGAGTCATCTAGTCCAAGCAGTTGTTCTTCTAGAACAGTTTTGAATGGCCCCAGCTGTGACTGGGGCCTCAGATTTGCGCTCAGCATGTAGAAAATGAATTGTCAGTTGGTTTCTTGACAGGAGGGGGTTTATGAATGATTGTGAGGTTGTTTATTGAGGAGTTGTTTATTTTATGGAAAGGTGAGGCTGTGGTGATGTAAGAAATAAAAAGAAAACATTCAGACGTTTTCAGAATTCCATGTGATAATGTGTGCATCGTTCTTCTCTGGAACATATCTTTGGAAATTTTGCAGCAAGGCACAGTCTAGCACACTACAGCTTCTCCTGATTCCTTATTGGTGCTGCCCAGTGTATACATATGGAAATGTGCTGGCCAGGTTCTTCTGTGGCCCGCCATTGCTGGTATGACATTAGTCTAACAGTTAATGTGTGTCGGTTTGTATTTGTGCTTGGAGAGGGGAATGAGAGCGCTGGCATGTTTGTCTCTGGCAGAAGGCTGATGGGTGTCCTCTAGCAAATGCAGCTGTGGCAGGTTAGGATGCAAGTGCCCTGAGCTGTCCACCCTTCATCTTCATGTGGAGCTGAAATGCCCTGGGCAGTGAGCTGGAGCAGCAAGGCCTGGGTGCCTGCTATTCCTGCTGGGCCTTCCCTCACTGACTTGGGCAGAGGGGCAGTGAGCTCTGCTGGGGCTCTGGTGCTGCAAACAGCTGCAGCAAGGCCAGGCAAGGACGGCTGTCACAGCCTTTGTTGCGTCCTGCCTTACAAAGGGTTGCAGACAATTGAGAGAGTCAGGTGGCTCCTTCAGTCATGACCCAA